TTGAAATTCTTATTAGATGATATCTACAGGCTCTTTGAAGTAAACCATTGGATGCAAGCAAAGGGAACGAACAAGATTTTGTGAGAACCACAGAGTGGTTAAATCGATAGCAGAACACCGCCTGCGCCTTTCTTGGCTTGCTGGAGGGTCTGCCCCCTACCTGATGTACTCCTGCAGATGCTATTCTGAGTTCCTCTTGAGGAAGAGATGCTCTTATACTTCTACTTGCAGACCCAATCCTTGTTCCCTCTCCTGGGAGGAAAGAAAAGAGAAGAGAAGGGAAAGAGAACATTATTACCCACTCTCTCCTTTCTCCTTCAAATTCCTTCTACACATTCCAATGTGACAAACACTATAATGTATACACAGAAAGAATTGGGAAGTCTTGGAAGACTGCAATCCTGCAGTTGTGAGGTGCACATCATCCTTCTCCTTTATAATCAGGCACAAGTTAATCAAGCAAATCTGCTCCTGAGCATGGCTTCTTAATGGAAAAATGGGACCTGAGGCAGGAATAACATTGAAAAAAGGAGGATAAGCTCCTCCTTCACCAAAAAGAAGAGCACTTCAGCAAGCTTTTTATTCAAAATCAGCAAAATGCACACATTAAATGCAAGAATGACGTCAAGGTCAGCCTTGGGTTAATAAAGAGACCCCAACAAAATTTAAAACCTACAGACAATGAGAAGCCTTCTTCCAAAATGACCCTGTGTCAACCTATCCTTTCATAACCATTTTCTCATGATTTCCATTTTTAGTGGTCAACATTTTAAATCTCTACATTTTTCTCATCTGCAATGGGAGCTGATGAGATTCCTACTTTCTCTTACTTTTGCTAGTCATACATGCTCAGAAGCGGGCGCTAGTGGCAGCTGAATTCACATTGCCTTGTTGTAGGCAGGCACACACCACGGCAATAGGACGGACTAGGAGAGAATCCTCCTCATTCCCACATGAACCTTTATTGCATTGTTTTCTGCCAATATACTATTTATTTATTTATCATGTCAGGCAACCAAACAGTTGTAGAATATTTTTAACAGAACAAACAAACAAAGATACAAAACACAACGTTTGCAAGCTTGGTAGTTGATTAAATGTCCTTTGACCAGTATCTGGCCACTTGGAGTGCCTCTGGTGTTGCCACAAGAAGGTCCTCCATTGTGCATGTAGCAGGGCTCAGGTTGCATTGCAGCAGGTGGTCTGTAGTTTGCTCTTCTCCACACTCGCATGTCGTGGATTCCACTTTGTGGCCCCATTTCTTAAGGTTGGCTCTGCATCTCGTGGTGCCAGAGCGCAGTCTGTTCAGCGCCTTCCAAGTCGCCCAGTCTTCTGTGTGCCCAGGGGGGAGTCTCTCATCTGGTATCAGCCATTGGTTGAGAGTCTGGGTTTGAGCCTGCCACTTTTGGACTCTCGCTTGTTGAGGTGTTCCAGCGAGTGTCTCTGTAGATCTTAGAAAATTATTTCTTGATTTAAGTCGTTGACGTGCTGGCTGATACCCAAACAAGGGATGAGCTGGAGATGTCACTGCCTTGGTCCTTTCACTATTGGCTGCTACTTCCCGGCGGATGTCAGGTGGTGCAATCCCAGCTAAACAGTGTAATTTCTCCAGTGGTGTAGGGCGCAGACACCCCGTGATAATGCGGCATGTCTCATTAAGAGCCACATCCACTGTTTTAGTGGTGAGATGTGTTCCACACTGGGCATGCGTACTTAGCAGCAGAGTAGCATAGTGCAAGGGCAGATGCTTCACTGTGTTTGTTGTGATCCCCAGGTTGTGCCAGTCAGTTTTCGTATGATATTGTTTCTAGCGCCCACTTTTTGCTTGATGTTCAGGCAATGCTCCTTGTAGGTCAGAGCATGGTTCAGAGTGACTCCCAGGTATTTGGGTGTGCTGCAATGCTCCAGTGGGATTCCTTCCCAGGTGATCCCCAGAGCTTGGGGTGCTTGTCTGTTCTTAAGGTTTTTTTTTTGTCATGTTAGGAGCGACCTAGGAAACTGCAAGTCGCTTCTAGTGTGAGAGAACTGGCCGTCTGCAAGGACGTTACCCAGGGGACACCCGGATGATTTGATGTTTTTATCATCCTTTTGGGAGGCTTCTCTCATGTCCCCGCATGAGGAGCTGGAGCTGATAGAGGGAGCTCATCCGCCTCTCCCCGGATTCGAACCTGCAACCTGTCGGTCTTCAGTCCTGCCAGCACAAGGGTTTAACCCACTGCGCCACCGGGGGCTCCATTGTTTTTAAGGTGAAAGGCACATGTCTGTTTTTTAGATGGATTAGGGATCAGCTAGTTTTCCCTGTAGTAGGCAGTAAGAGCACCTAGAGTTTCGGAGAGCTTCTGTTCAACCATCTCAAAGCTCCCTGCTTGAGCAGTATATGCTATTATATATAATATACTATTATATATAGTATACATATATACACTATTATATACAGTATATAATATACTATTATACCCAGATACTAAGAGTTGTATTCCTCCCGTCCTTTTTTTTATCAGTGAAAATGTTACAAGGGAAAAATCCAGCTACACAGAAGCTAAGAAAGAAAACATAGATTTTCTGTTAGGAGACTTTCTTAACTGAAGTATGCCTACAACATCCCAGTACTGTTTAGGCAGCATGATCTTGTTAACGTGCCATGATTCATACAACCCAGATATATTCAGGCAGACTTGAATGGAGAAGGCCAAGGAGAAAACTTAGGACGGCACTTACTCATTGAGGGAGACTTTCCTTCGCTGTCCTCCATCATCCACCTTGGCTGCTGCCTTTGACTGGATTCAGGAAAACACTGACCTGCCTCAGGGATCCGTTCCAGACACAAATCCTGCAGCAGAAGCAGAAACAAGGGAAGGAAATGAAAGGGAGAATTGGGAAAAGAAAAGGCTTTAGGAGTGGTTGGGGAGTGGGAGGTGGGATATGTCGAACAGTTACATCTTCTGAATGAGGAGGATTGTATTCATTTGCTTCTCATGTTTTTAATAGCTAAAATATAACCTTTCTACAGGCTTGAAACAATTACAACACAGAGATAACAGTACAGAATAAGATGACAGATAAGCAGCATATCTTTACCCATGCTTAACTGGAAGCTTTTAGAGAAGCATGTTTCCTTGTGAGAAAAAAAGGATAGGAAGGACAGAGCCAATCTAATCTCCCTACCAAAGAGTTGCAGAACCCAAGGAAGCCACTGAGAAGGAGGCTCTGTCCCATCTTCCCAGGAGGTAAGACCATGAGAGGAGAGGCATCTCAGGCTGAGCCCAACAAGGGCAGAGAAAACACTTCTTGGAAAAGCTGAGACCCAAGCCATACGGAGCTGTACAGGAAATGACCAGTGCTATTAATTACCCCATCTCTTTAAAASGTACCCATGTTCTYTGTATTTCTGGGAAGRGGAATCCCATCATACAGGTCCAGGCTATCCTTGACCTGCCTTTTGACTGATGAGACGCAATTATCTCRGGCCTCWGKTTGTTCCAGAKTTRTCAGAAAACGTGCCAAGACATATGGATGGCCCTCAAAATGYCCAGAATGAACMGAGCTCACCGRCTCCTRTTCCTGCTTCTTCTCTGCCTGACTCAYGAGGAAGCSTTCTGCCAGGGCCACCGCCTGGGAACTGGTCTCTGCCCCACATTSTCTCACCCAGGACGACATCTCCGAGGGAAGGAGTGCCAGGAACTGCTCAAAGACCACCAAGTCCAACATCTCCCCCTTGGTGCGTCTTTCTGGCTGGAGCCACTGGCGGCAGAGAAGGTGCAGCTGGCTGCAAACCTCCCGAGGTCCTAACGTCTCCCTGTAGCCAAAGTCCCTGAATTGCTGGCGGCATAAATCTGAAGTGAGCACTTCCTCCAGCATGCGCTTCTGGGTGGCACTCTCCTCGAATGCTCCTCTAGGCTTGGCCTGAATGAGGGAAGGGCCTTTTCCCAGGCTGGGCTCAGAAGAGTCTTTCCCTCCCATCTTTTCAGTTAAACCTTGCACTGTTGCCAGGATCTCCTGCAAGGCAAAAACATTGGGAAAATTACTGAAGGTAGAAAGAAATGGGCAGGAAAAGCAAGCAAGATGTTTGATGAGGATCGAAAGAAAATGGGGGAAACAACCCCAGTCCCATTTTAGCATATCTCTGTGGCCATAAATGATGTTGCTTTTCAGTCCTTATACACCACTTACAAGATATTTTGGTGTCCAGAGCAAGCAAACAAGGTTATTTTATTTGTCATGTCAGGACAACCAGTCAAATTATATTACGTTTCTAACAGAACAAAGCAAACAAACAGACAAAATACAAAATTTGTGAGTTTGGTAGTTGATTAAATGTCCTTTGACCAGTATCTGGCCACTTGGAGTGCTTCTGGTGTTGCTGCAAGAAGGTAGCTTCTACCTATTATGCTTGGGATAAAGTGTAGTTTATACCAACAGTTCCCAAACTTTTTCGCTCAGAAGATTTTTTTGTCCTCCCCACGGAACCTTAACTCTGTCCCTAAGCCCTGTGAAGCCACAAAGTTATTCCTTTTTTCATTTACTCCTATTGCATGAGTGTTTTGTATAATGTAGTAGGCTTAGAAATTAAGAGAAAACAATGTATTGTTGAGGGCTTTCGTGGCCGGAATCACTGGGTTGCTGTTGTTTTTTTGGACTGTATGACCATGTTCTAGAAGAGAAAACATTTTAAATATAGCGACAAACCTTTAGTTTGGTACAGGAAGTTTTTGAATTCACAGCTAAAGTGATGAACGAACCTGTTTCATTTTGTTTGGAGACTGGGCTTCAAGTCCAGCAGCTGAATATAACAACAACAACAAACAATTTTGTGAGGGGCTTAACTGCTTCTATAATGTTGAGAGCTGTGCTGGTGGTAGTGTAAACTGCCAGTAGGTTCAACCAAGCCAGAGTGGCCTCAACTGAGAAGTTGAACTAAGTGCACCCAACCCAGTTAATGATGGTGAAACAAACTCTAAAGAAGTCTAGACTTGCTTGGTCATCGCCCAGGATAATAAGGAGCGTGGCGAGTGCTTCTCCTGGGCACCCGTCGACAAGTGGGCTACAGGAACCAGGACCCACTGCTGAGCAACCAGGTCATAGACCTGTAGGGCAACTGGAAGCAAACAACTACAGAAGCGACAGAAATTTTCAATGCCACAGAACCAAACTGTCATGAACTGCTATTATAGATCAGAACCCCAAAAAACATGGATACCAAAACCGGATGTACCCCTTATAGAAACTGGAATATCCAGCAAACTACTCCGGGGCTTCCGAATTCAGACTGACAGAGTTTTGGTGCACAATACTCCTGACCTCACTATAGTGTTAAAAAACCAAGTATGGATCGTCGATGTTGTAATCCCAGGTGACAGCAGGATTGAAGAAAAAAAAAACAATTGGAAAAGCTGTCACAATATGAGGATTTAAAGATCGAACCGCAAAGACTCTGGCATAAGCCAGTAAAGGTGATCCCAGTAGTGATCGGCACACTGGGCGCAGTGCTTAAAGACTTTGGCCTGCACTTACACAATTGGCGCTTACAAAATTACCAGCTGCCAGCTGCAAAAGGCCACCCTACTGGGATCTGCATGCATTATTCACCGATACATCGGATAGTCCTAGACACTTGGGAAGTGTCCGACGTGTGATCCAATACAACAACCAGCATAGTGATCTTGTTTGCTGTGTACTCATCTTGTTGTGTATCAATTAATAATAACTTTATTTCTATCCCACCACCACCTCCCCAAAGGGACTCGGGGTGGCTTACAAAGCACCCCAGGGTGCACATATAACACGCAACTGGTAAAAACAGTACAAAACAAGTCTGATAAAATTATAACAACAACCCACCCGTCAACACATGTCAAAATCAAAACAATACAATTCACAGGTGCCAAGTGTCAGTGTCATATGGGCCCATTCAGCCTACTCAAGATCAAAGGCCTGTCTGAATGTCCTGTTTTCAGGTTGGAACGGAAGGACTGAAGGATGGGGACTAATTTAATCTCTTTTGGGAGGGTGTTTGAGCCGGGGGGCCACCACAGAGAAGGTCCTCTCTCTTGTCCCCACCAACCAAGTTTGAGACAGTTGTGGGCCTGAGAGGAGGGGTTCCCCTGTCAATCTCAGAGCCCACACCAGTTCGTAGAAAGAGATGCGGAGTTGAAGATAGGTTGCACACAAAGCATATGTAATATATAAACCCAAAGTGGCATCCAAGTTACTACCAATTTTACTTATGGTGTAAGCATCACCTGGAAAGCCTGATTCTCTTTGATTGATGGACATGAAGGGCAGAAGAGCTCAGATAATCGTTTTGGCTTCTGACAGCTACATGCCTACCAAACCCTACCCAAAAGTCATTCAGTGGCACAGATTCAGAGGTTGTTTTTAAAAAGGAGAAATACACTGATTTCAGTAAGATCTTCATATACTGGTAGAGACTTTTAAAAAATAATAATGATTTTTTGCAGAACCCTTGCAGTGTTTTTGCGGAACCCTTGCGTTCCAAAGACCACAGATTGGGAAGCACTGGTTTACATCACTGTGATCACCATCAAAGGGAAAGAAGTGCAGAGAAGCAGATTCCTGCCAGCATCTGCCACATGAGGCAACCGCTTCATTGGCCTGAATGTCGGGCCTTTTCCAGAGGGTCAAAAGCTCAATGCGCTTTGTCCCATCTCTCAGTCTGAAATAAGCCATGCTGAGAGTCAATTGTGTAAGCAGTTAAGAGTTCTGGGCTGGAGACACCCTCCTATAAACCCCTAACTTTCATCCCAACCTCCCTTGGAGGGCTATTGTTAGTAATGGGTAAGGCCATTGACAAGGCCAAAATAAAGAAAGGCCCAGGCCCAGATGGATTTTCTGTCTTGTTCTACAAGCTGTACAAAGATGAAATAGGTTTATTATTGCTTTCAATAATGAATTGAGTGCTCCAGAAAGGGGAAACTCCAGACTACTGGGTATGATAGTCCTCGTGCCTGAACAAGGTAGACATATGCATTTTACTGTATTTGTATGCTCCTGCAGCACTATTATAAGCCTCCCTGAGTCCCTTTTGGGAGATTTTGGCAGGACATAAATAAAAGTACTACTGTTCTTCTTATTATTATTATTAGGAACAAGTCAAGAATTTCAGACAAATTTCATTAGTAAATTGTGATTACAAGTTATTTGCAGAAATATTATCAAATAGACTGAAACAAATCTCAGTGAAAACAATTCAAGGAGACCAAGTGGGCTTGAGAAAAGGCAGAGGAACGAGAGACCAAACTGCCAATATCCACGGGATAATGGAGGAAGGCGGGAGTTTCAGAAAAACATCTGCTTTTGTTTAGGGATTTATAGGTCATAACCTGCAATTTGTATTAGGACCGTAAACGTATTGCTACTGTGAAGCCAAACACCAATAGATCTGGACCAAATTTGGCACAAACACCAGACACGCCAAAATTTGAATACTGGTGGCTTTGGGGTGGGGGATTGATTTTGTCATTTGAGAGTTGTAGTTGCTGGGATTTATAGTTCACCTACAATCAAAGAGCCCCTCAAACCCCACCAACGATGGAATTGAACCAAACTTGGCATACAGAACTCCCATGACCAACAGAAAATACTGGAAGGGTTGGGTGTGCATTGACCTTGAGTTTTGGAGTTGTAGTTAGACCACACTTGGAATATGGGCACCACAATTGAAGGGAGAGATTGACAAGCAGGAATGTGTCCAGAGGAGGGTGACTCAAATGATCAAGGGTCTGGAGAACAAGCCCTATGAGGAGTGGCTTAAAGAGCTGGGCAAGTTTAGCCTGCAGAAGAGAAGGCTGAGAGGAGACATGATAGCCATGTATAAATATGTGAGAGGAAGTCACAGGGAGGAGGGAGCAAGCTTGTTTTCTGCTTCCCTGGAGACTAGGACGCAGAACAATGGCTTCAAACTACAAGAAAGGAGATTCCACCTGAACATAAGGAAGAACTTCCTGACGGTGAGAGCTGTTCAGCAGTGGAACTCTCTGC